AAAAAAAAAAAAAAAAAAAAAAAAGTAAGAGAGAAAATCTATGAATTAAGGCTTGTGGAAGCACCCTGAATCACTGTATGACAGTCAAGTCCTATTTGCTAATAATCGCCAACAATCGATAGCGTTTTGTGACTTACGTAAACATCTCTAACATAATTACTTCGCCATTTCGATCTGTCGTAGACTTACGCGTTTTCACGAAACGAACGATAAAACGACTCTATATATTCTTCGTTCCTCGATGACCATGCGATTCGATATTATACACATCGGTATTGTTCCGATATCGTACGTGCGTTCCAGTTTGGACTAGTTTCAGCCGTAACGAGACCACATGTACACGAGCCAACGTGTATCCATGATCTCGACCTGCGACTTTTCGCTTCTTTGATTCTCCCGAGGTGTCGACATACACACACGCACACGCACACGCGCATACACACGCACACACACACACACAACACACAGGCGCGCGCGCTTCCATGGCTCCTCGTTTTTTATTAAACGTAACTTTCATCATCAACGACGGATCTTCCGTATCCTAGGTGTCTGGTGGTAACCGAGGCACGAGGTTGTGGAGGCGGGCGATAAGGAGGCGGCGGTGGTAAAGACCTTGACCTTCCTGCCACTTTGTGCCTGTCTTCCAGATTCATGTGCACCGGTGGTAGATGCCTCAATCTCGGTGGTAGTGGTGGTGGCGTATCTGGCCATGTTCTTTCCTCTTCGTCGTCTTCGTCACCGTACAAATCGATCGCCTCGGCCTGCTTGAACGAATACAAGTCGTTTCTCTCTCTCGAACCGTATATCTCGCTCGTTCTGTCCCTATTTCCGTAGATGCTGCTTTCAGATTCGTATCTTTCCGTACGCGTCGTTTCTTTGTTCACGTATATTTCGCTCTTCACCTTCTTGAACTCGTAGAGATCGCTTCCCGAATGGTAGCTACCGTTCTGCGAGACGGGTGACTCGCGATTAACATACATTTCCGACTTGACCTTCTTAAACTCGTTGAACCGTTCTTTCTTGAATTCGTATCTGTCGCTGGTCAACGTCGTGTCCCCCATCAGATCCTGCTCCGAATTGTGACTCGAGACTCGTTCTGTACAAATGTCCTGCTGCGTTGCCCTTTCGTATTCCGTCCTAAGATCCCGCGAAATGTCCAGCTGCGAGCTTCTATAGATGTCCTTGCAATTTTCCACATTCTCCTTCATCGAGTCTTGTCGCAGATACTCCCTACCGTAGATATCCTTCTCGTCGAATCTATCCTTGCGATGATCATGCTCGTCTAACTTGGTTCTCGGTGTTCTCTTCAGTTGAGCTCTTAGCCAATCTTGCCTCTGAAAATTCGGATTCGGATAACCGATGCTGCTTTTCTCTTCCCTGAAGCTATGCTCCACAGCGCTCGTATGATGATTATTCGTCGTGTAACCGTTTATTCTCTCCTCCCATCCGCCGTAGACACGTATATACGACTTGCTGGTAGACTTATCCTCCTTACTCAGAGACTTGTCGAAGCTCGACGACGAAGCATTCACGGCCGAGTCCTCGGAGCCCACCGGAGACTCTGGGATGAACAGTTGACAATCCGACAGGGTCAGTCCGGAATCTCTCGAGAGAGACATGTGATCCTTGCGAGGTGGTTCCGTCAGGTCCAGGCTGTCCAGAGAAAGCCCACCTGCTGCAACGAGAGAAATTCCTCAGTGGACTATCAAAGTATACGCACGCGAATCGAAGACATTCAACGCGGAATATAACGCGTTAAAAGAAGAAGAAAGAAAAAGGAAGGGGAAAGAAGGAAGATAAGGCAAAGTGCTCACAGTGAAGGCTATCGGTGCTTTCTTCGGCTCCGCTGTCGCTGCGTTCTTCCCCGAGAAGCTGCGTGACACCCTCGCCGAATAGAACTTCGCAATGACGAATCAACATCTCCGTGAGAGTAGGGATCGCTCTGCTCTGATTCACCGACGGATTTGGCGACCAGAGTAAACTGGGCCCGCAACACACGCCCAGATTGCTCGCGCACATGAGATTGTGCTTCGACCGTCGAGCCACGTGGTGTAGAACGCAGATCAGATGAGACAGCAGGGTGTAATTCGCTTTGGGCAATCTATCTAAAATACTGGAATCAGCAGGGATCATTCGGTTAAACAGCGTACACAATAGCGAAAATAAGAACAACTCGATATGACAATAAAATCGCTCGTCTGCTCGCTTACTTCTTAATAGTTTGGACAGGATTCGGCGTGTCCATGCTGTCCATCCAGAGGGGAAACAGGTGGGAAGTTAGCAAAGGATCCGGTAAAGATCTGAGAAAGTCTTTGAGCAGTGCTGCCACCGCTATGATCGGGGCATCCTCCAAACAACTGGGATCACCCGTGGACTCGATTTGATCTCGCAGTTCTCGAACGATCCTAACGTTGGCCGATTTTCTAAATATACCCTGCGTGAATGGCCCCTTGGCGAACAGTTGCTGAAGCATCACCAACACAGGCTTGGGTAATCCGTTCTCGTCGAGTCTGGACAGGTTGACTCCGAAGAGACTCGGATTCAACGAGAGGGATCTTCTCAGCAACCCGGTGATTTTCGACTTGTTCTTCTTCACCGGGGACTTGGGTACCGGCCTAAGTATAAAGTGGCACGTGTCGTGGCCACTTTTGTTACAATGTTCCAAGTCGAAACCTTCTTCGGCGGACAGCGTGTGTCGTAAATTCGACAGTTTCACGGCGAAAGGTCTCTCGTGTCCAATTAGGGGATACGGCGCCTCGTCAGCGGACGTTCTTGCCCACAACTGGAACGGTCCTTGCAGGTCCAATAGGCGCGTGGCCAAATTCACGCAAGCTGCCGCTGTCATTTCGGATCCCACCATAATCGTCTTACACTGCAAACACGAAGAAGCGACGCGGATGTAGTTGGCAACACGAATAACAGGATTGCTTCGGGAGAATAGCAAACGGGCGCAACACGTATGCAGAGATAAAGAGAATACGCGTTGGTAGAGGCGATTATAGTTATTAGAGGTACGCGAGAGGATGCGTTTGCTTCGACCGCAGCTTCCGGCAAACGTTAAAGGCACTCGCGTGTTCTTTAATAGAGGCGTCGAGCGGCGCGCGTATTTAAATACGACGCGCTGGTCGATAATGAACGTCGAGCAGAGCGAACACCTCGTATAAAGGCCGAGGGATAGAAGGAGGCTCTTTTTAGTAGAACCGATCCACTCCGGCGTTGACGTCAATGATATAAAAGGGGCATCTCGAAGCAAGAATGCCTGCAGGAAGGTCAAGCGATCGAACCCCGGTCTCTCTGGCGCGCTAGGATGTGCGAAGAATGGACCGTGAAGGCGTGACCGCGTGTATCTCTCCTTCGCTTTGAATACGTGTGTGCCTGTATATTGCGCGCAACCACGGAGAGGAGTATGCAGCACTTACGTATTCCGTGTTCGTGTCACTGTCGTGATACACGACTTGAATGTTCGTGTCCGGCGGCTCCTTCATACTCTCCTCTCGTACGAGTTCGGTCAAACGTCCCCACCAGAGGTCTCTCGCTGCAGCAGTCCTAAAAGAAACCAATAAACGTTCTGTGATGCGTCGCGATATAGCCGACACCTCGACGGTTAATCGAACGATATATCTCTTTCCCACCACCCTCCAGCGGTTTCTCGTTCGCCAGTTTATTGCGCCTCTAAAAGAATTCTCCTCGGAGTCCCTCGAAGCGACGCGGAATCGCCGCCATTACCAGTCCAGGTGGAGTATAAAGAAACGCAAAGGGTGCAATAACACGGGCGAACGCGATACCAACAGCGTGGATACGGGGCTTGTAAAGCATCGGCAAGCACGTACATGAACGTGGCGACGACGTTCGTAGTGGGCCAACCGAGGACGAAGCTCGTTTCCTGAGACTTGCTCGTTTCAGCCACGTCCTCTATGTGTCCGGCGGTCAGCCATAGCTCGCTCATCCTCACGGACTGTTTCAGCTTGAAGTTACCTCCGCTTCGTGCTTTCGCTATGAGCAACAGGTCCGAGAAGAGGAAGAGGTGTCTGTCCTGGGACTGCACACCCTGCGAACCAAGAGGAAAGATTTCACATCTAGATCTCTATCTTTGCAATCGATCAATCATCAACCCGATTCGTCGATTCGCTTACCGTGGTGAACTGAACCGGAGTCTCCAAGAGGAACGTCCTTGGCGGAGATTTCGGGGCGGGTGAGTTGTTGGACACGTTCAGGGACTTTTGCGACAACACTCTCGTCAGCCTTCCAGGATTTCCGCCGTTCCTCTTGCGGATCAGGCTCTTCATTTTCTGAAAAGAAACAGGCCACGCGTTGCCGCATTACGAAAGCAATAACAAACACCGCCTATCTTTGGACAAGGGCGATACCATTCCCTCGTTCCTCGGGGGAGGCAGAACGAAATTCCTGCGGCTACCTAACCAACCGAGCCAATTAACCCACCCATCTTTTTGCTGCAACGCGATTATGCTCGTGCGTGCACGAAATATCACGCAGGGAATCGATATTGGAAATCGGGGATATCGACGCGCTATCGAGCAACCTCGGCAAGGGATTAGCATTAAATTATCTGGTGGCTCGAGTAGTCCGCTCTATCCAGTTACCGCGTTAAAGGGTCACAAAGTAATGACCAATTTTGATGCTCGGATCTAGGACATAAATTATTATCATCCTCGCAGCGGGTGGCTAATAACCGGACGCCAACGTGCCAAGGCACATTAACTTTCGGATGACTTAACAGCATTATTTCACCGGCTCTGTTCGTGGACAGTGAGGTATCGTTTCGCGAGAAACCCGTTCGAAATTTTCACCGAGGTCTTTCTCATTTTTTCCACTTTATTTTCTCCTTTCCGCCGGCTCTCGACTCAACGAAACCACTCCGGAGCACTCGAAAGCACTCGAAACCTCTGGAAACCACGAATACCGGTTCACACCGGGAACAGCGTCGATAGGGAATCAAACGAGAAGCCGAGATTCACTGGGTGCACTGTTGCAGTCGCGAGATCGCACCGGAGACCCGCTGCTTTTCCCGCGGCTCCGGCCAACCGATGTCAAGACGCGGAGAGACGGATGAACAGTTACGTCTGACAAATAACTCCACCAAATATAGCGAGGAGACACACGAAACACGAAATTACACGCGGTTACGGGACGTACGGATTAACATATTCCGCTTTGACGGCGAGCGTCATTCTTCTCCGACTTTTCTCTGACGAAATCGATGTTCTCCCGCCTAGATCGTAACTACGATACGTTTAACTCTTTGCGGCACAGGATTTCTGATAATAAGACAGACCCACGTTGCGTAGAAAATTTATCGCGTTTTAAATGAAACAAAATTGGTATATTTTTACTAATAAAGGAATCATACAATAAACCTTCCGCTTGCAACAATTGATGAACCTATACTGGCATGTCGAATGTTGCCAACACGAGCGAATACGTTTAAAACATTCGTCGAAGGTATTACCAACTGCTTCACGTAAATAAGACGAAATATAAACCTACACGCATGCAGTTATAGCAATATTCCGAGGTGGGACTAAAAATGTCTCACCATGCATTACGGTGCATCGAAAAGGCGGGACACTTTTAATCCTAGCGTGCCCCAAAGAGTTAAAAGGTGTTCTTAACCATCTCCTTATGTACTATTTAACTGATGCACGATGAAATTCATCTGTGTATATATTGCAAGAGAAACGCCGACAGTCGAGTCCAAGCAGTTGTCAATAGACAGACGATGTTGGCATCAAAAAGGTGGGACACTTTTAATCCCAGCATGCACCAAAGAGTTAACCCTTTGCGCTCGAGAGGCACCCTTCAGTCGCCATTTGATAAAATTTCAGATAATGTAACGGTGTGCAAAATATCGTTAGCTTTTTAGCAGAAAATCTTTCATCTCCTACTCTTCCTTAGCCAGAAAATCGTCGAGTGTGAAGGATTTGCACTCGGTGACTAGCATAGTAATTGGAAAACTTTCTGCCATAAAGTCGAGAATATTTTCAAAATGGTACATAAGAGGTGCAAATTAATTGTAAGACGTGGAATTATTTTACCTGGATATTCCACGCATTGTTGGGCAATTTTCAATTCGAGATATTAATTAATAACGACGTTTAGAATTTGATTAAATGGTGACTGAGAGTCGCCTCTCGAGTGGAAAGGGTTAACAACGCGTGGTGTACGCCAGCAGTGTAAATAGCCAGGTGTTGCGTTTCATTGAAATATCGTATGGTAATGAACGACGCAGAAATCAAGGTAACGATGATTCTTTCGCGATGATTGTCCGCGATTCGAGGAAACGTTTCATCACCGTTCTCGAGAAAACGCGTAGCGCAATGCATGCATGCACGAGGGAACTGGAGGAACGAGAATGGAGGAACGCGAGCACGCGTTCACCCATGCGACACCAGCGGACGCGTGATCTGCCCGTAATCCGTGCTCTTGACAATACTCCTTACGCCCAGTATGCAGATCAGGCCGCGATACACGTGGGACGATGACACGCCGGGACAAAGAGCGTACGAAAATCTGTATCAGCGGTTCGGCCGTTTAATCATCGCGATGCTATCTATCGAGGAGGAGTCGGATTAAAACGGAAATAAAAACACGCAGGAGGAAGGACGGATCGGCGGAGAAGGACAAAGATGGACTGTGTAATTTGTAGTCGGCTGCAAATTATATTCGAAGAATCGAGTTACCCCGACGTCCGGATCAAAAAGCGCAACACGCTTCCTGCTTAATCTCGCCGCGCGCCGTTTTCGACGATACGTCATCCGTCACACGTGCAAATGACAGAGGAGACACTGTCACGGTGGAGCGTTCCGTGAGATGCGTGGGAAACACCGTTGCGTGTTGACTCGTGCTTTCCGCGAGTGCGAGGAAAAATGCCCCCGTGTGCTCGTGAGAATCGTTGAAACCCATCGTGCAACCACGCTCCTTTCCCCTTTTGCCCGTAACCGATTTTTCGTTCCCAACCGGAAGTGCCTAGGCACTTATGGAGATTTTCTGACCGTAAATAGAAACGTTTCACGCGAGATGGCGCGATAGACGGTTAGAGAGAAGGTAGAAGCAAAGCAATACCGTGGTGAGGACATCTCGCTCGTGTAGCCGGAGGTTATCGCCAGGGAAGAGCTCCTGGATGCGATGAAGATCGCCTTCGAGTTGACCGCGTTGGAGAACGGCGCCACTCCCGACGCTTCCGTTTCCGTTCTCCACTAGGTTTCTCGCCTCCTGGCCCAGGTACCTCTCGTATTCGGCCAGCCTCTGGACCTGCAACAATTCAAAATTATTTCCTCGTTAGACAATCTTCGTACAAACGCTGCTCCTCTCATAACGGTGCGAGGTTCTAGGATTCTTAGAGATTACAGGGTAATGGCGAGTGGATAATTTTTACAAGGTACACTGTCGAGTCTCTTTACTTGGTCGTGGTTACGATAATACCGAGATCGAAGGACCGAGTTACGAAAGGAGGAGAAGAAAATGGCACGGAAACGAGGCGCGTTCGTTTTTCCTCTGGCGATTGTGGAGCGAAATTAGCGAGCGATATCGGTAGCGAGTGATCGCAACGCGATCGAAGTGCGCACTCGCAGTAGATCGTCGAGACGGCGTTCTTTTCAGCCGGAACGATCCGGGTAATTGTCGTCGGCGATACATCGAGGCGAGTTATGTAAATTCGCGGCGACTCACCGTTCAATCACGTCGTGTGCCGTTTCGTTCGAGCTAGCTCGCTAGTTGGAACGGACTTCTGCCGACTCGCGACCACGCGATCGGTTGATTCATTGCTTAATTGTTACGAGGCACGAGCGGGGTTCGCATCGACTGCTCGAATTTCCGCCGCTGTTTACGATAACCACCCACGGACCGGCCGGGGTTCTAGACTCTGCCAATAGTTGCCGCGTTGTACTTATTTCGTTACCGAGCCACCGGTGAGGCATCGCCGGAAATATCGCGGTGAGTTGCAATTTTTCCCAGAGGGTTCGATTCGTCAAGGGTAAGCACGCCGAAGTTCTTTACGCGGTGCTCCGTTTATGATCCGCACCCACGTGCTTCGAAATTTTCAATTAAAATGCGAGCAGCGCGGCGCGAGCCACCCACGCAGAACCGGCTTTCGTAACGAAAGCGTACCACTTCTTTCACCGTGTGTCGCTGCACGATCGAACCAGCAATCGGATTTGGTATCGCGGTCGATGTACAAACGAGCCTCCATTCCACCGGATCTACTCAAAGCCTACCGAATCGCGGTTAATCCCGCTAGGCCGGGACTTGACACGGGCCGCAAACGAGCCCAAATTTGACTCCGCTGCCGATTATTCGGTGATCGATCGTCAACGATTGACCAATCAGCGAGATATTATCGTAAAACGACACGTGTATCGTACAGTAGCGCCACTGGAGAAATCGAACGTGTTTACGAAGTTCCAGGCACGTTCAATGCCTATTCTCTGCCAATTACAACTTTGCACCCCTGATATCTCTCTATCACGATTGTATTGCGCGTATCCAGTGAAACGAAAGATTATTTTCTATCGCTAAAGTGGTTAAACAAAGTCGAGAACAATTTTGGAGAAAGTGATCACCGATCGACAACTAACGGACTACTAGCGATCGCTATATGGCCATCATAGCGGATAATTACGGGGTAGTCTTTCGCTAACCCTTGTAATATCGGTTTCCGACACTCGGATCGGAAGCCCCGCGAAAAGTGTCAGGTGGCTGCGAGCAATTGACTCGTCGTCGACCAGGTGCTCCGCAACACTTTGGCACTAAACTGGTCTCTCGACTACGTACAGGGGGATAATGCAACTCTGACCGATTTTAGACCCTGACCTACGCGCGTGACGTGCACCAGTCTATAAACGTCGCATCAGCCGATCAATTTAGGACTTTGCTATAGTTACCCAACGATTTCGAAACGTTCACTCTCGGTTCTCGATAACAGTCACGAGGTTTAATCCGCGTCTCCGTTCATTCGATCGCGAGAGACTCTTCTGACATTCGGCGTGTACCTACATTGGCCGAGTCCGACACGTAACCCTCGTCCATGAACACATCCACGTACTTGATGAACATCTCGATCCGCGAACCAGTTATCGATGGCAAAATGCGTTTCTGACAACACGCGACAACGCGACAAGAAATTGCACGGAACAGCTGCCGATGTCGAGAGCAAAGGCGTGACGAGGACCGGTTACTAGCCTCGGAGCTGGCAGACTGAAGCGAGCGAGATTTCGCGCGCAACACACGTCGCCTCGTGATACATCTTTCGCGGGCAATGAATCATCGGTCCACCGGAAGTAACCACTCCGCTTCGAGTGGAGGCTGCCTCGTGTGTCACCGTTTTTCTCACCTATCCGTCTCTCGCGTGATTTCCACGCCGCCATCTCTACACCCCGTGACCGAGCACGCTCTTTCGCGATCGCTTTTTTTATCGAGATGGAAAGTTCCCTCGGTGGGCCAACAACCGAGAGCACGTCACAGCAGCCTCTCCGCTCCGCTCGTCTCCTTGTTCTTTGCTCATCGCTGCCGTGCTATACTGGGTCGCGGTAGTTATGGCAATCGCGAGAATTTTTATTTATCTCTTTATTTGTCCATTTATTCGTCTTTTTCTCTTCACGATCGTCAGAACGCAACCAAGTGTCAATGCCAGACGCGTCGATGCGAAGGAGGGATTATCGTTTAGGTCACTCCCTAATCAGGGAATGCTCGACATCGTGGTCGCGACCATAGCGTAAGTTTTTCCTGTTTTCTTATTTTTCGCAATACACGCGAATTCCCCGTAAGTTATGCCTAAACGTATTGTGCAACAAAGAAATTTCGCAAGAATAAAATTGATGAACCTGCAGGTCCGAAGGAGTCCGATAATCGGAGTCGCAAAGAACGTTTTCAAACGTTTAATTTTAATTTTTAAAAAGATCTATTCTCCCCAATGGCGAGCGTAAAATGGTCCCCATTGTAATTCCTTTCCTCGATCCTTTCCTGGTTTCTTCGATGCCAGGTTCGCGATAACTATCGTTCGAGGTTCATTACGGGAGCAAGAAAAATTTCTCTTTCACGGTGTAATTTTCACAGTTTGACGGTATTGGCATTCTCCGATGCGTATCATCGACCGTGAGGCCACGTTCGATACTCCCCGGGGCCCGCCCCCCATCCTCCCTCGCCGCCTCTTTGCTCGTTTTCTTTCGTTCCGTTTCCCATCGTCATTGTTCCAGCGACACGTACTTTTACGCGCGGCATTCTTATCCCGGCACCGTTTCTGGGCCCCTTTTCGCACACTTTCACCGCGCCACGTCGATTATATTCCTAGGAATAGCTGGAACATGGAACGCGCCGTTGTACGCCCGATCGCCGCTCGATAATCGTTATCGAGTCACGAGCTGGCCCACGTTTCGCCAGCGCCGGCTCGTATTTTCTCTTACCGATCAAACGACCCCGCGAAAACTCGCCCCGCTTTCCGGCACACCGTTCCGCATTCCCTCGAATTAACTCCCGTTTTATCCCTTTTTCCGCGATCGCGATCGCGCGATGTCGAAACGACGAGTCCGAGTAGTCGGTATCTACGATACCGCGTAACCCACGGCCGGGCAGAGTCGTGTTCCTTCTCGTTGAAACGCATCGAACACGCGACACACTCCAGTTCCCAGACATTTTTCTCACAGGTCGTTACCGTCCCACTAACGGCCTAATTGAATTTTTTCTCCGGCGTTCTGCAGCCAGCGACTAATGCGGCGCAAAAACCGCGCGGAAACGAGGTATCCCGTGACACGTTTGAAAACACGTTCAAATTCCACCGGCTGAATACCGATACCCGCGTGTACGCGAGAGCGGAGAACTTTCACGATCGGAGCGTCTTACGCCGTTCTTCCCCCTTTCTCCCTTTTCTCCGCTAATCCGAATATATTCGAGGAGATGCGGCGCGTCTGCTGAATAAAAGAGGAGATTCGAAGAAACCGCGGCAGCTGGTCGAAAAACCACCGAAATCCTCGATGCCACGGTTCGTACCACCGATTCGTCTCGGGGCACAAAGAGTTCCGTCCCAATCGCGTCTCGGGATCAGCGAAATAAATACTCGCGCTGGTGGGCTCGTGTGCTGCTGCTCTCCATCGGTTCAAAGGGATCTCCACTCTCTCTGTCTCTCTTTGTCTGTCGTGAATTCCCGGGTTGACAGAGAGAGAGAAGTGGTTATATCGGAGTGGGAAACCGGAGAAAGATTTCTTCGCGCAGGGTGGCTTTTCGAGGGGTAGGTGTCCTGACCACGCACAAGAGGCTGCTTGTTAATGCAGCTCGCCGAGCCCGGGGACGTCCTCGCATATTAATCAGCGGCACAAAGAAGAAGCGACGTGTCCCGGGGACTCGCGAGTGCAAAGAAAGCGACGCGGGGGACGGAGGGGGCGAGACAAGGGGAGAGAAAAAGAAGCGGAAAAAGAGGAGAAGAAAAGTGGAGGAGAAGGGAAGGAACGCGCGTTTCGTTCCGGAGAGGATTTCGACGGGTGCTAGATGGCCGACAATCCCGGATACGACCGGTTAAATTCTCGCTAATTAGCATAGCGAGCGTGCATCGGGAAGAGGCGAGCGTGGTACCTAAAGAGGTACTTTTCTATTCGAGAGGAGTCGCGCGTGCTCGTAAATCGAGCTCTTTCTGGCTCCGGGCGTAGAAATCCGATTCCGCGTATTATCCTCGACGGTTTGCACAATCGTACGCGCGCTCGCTCGCCTCTCGTCTTGCCCGACGAACATTTGTCGCGAGGCCGTCGCTTTTACCTCGCGCCGATCGGCGCGCGTACCAGAGAGACCGTGAACGATCGCGCACGGGCTGGCCGGTATACATACGCGCGCGTAAGAGTAACTCGTCGAGGAATCCGAAACTCGTAACGAAGGGAAACCTTTGCTATTACTCCAGTTCGTCCATTACGAGCCGTCCATTATCTCCACGGCTCGTTCGCCGGTGGAATCCTTTTACCGTTTCCAAAGCGACTCTTCTGACCGTCGATTCCTCGGCCGATTCCCTGGTCGATGCCTGGAAAGTCTAGAGAGCGCGTTACTTTTGTGCCACTCTGTACAAAGAGAGAAAAAGCCATCGACCAACGAGAGAGGGCTGGCGGCGGTTAATTTGTCGGCCGGCCGGCACGATAATTTGCCCGTCGGGGCGATCAATCATTTAATTAGTCAGCGAGAACGTGCCCGCGGCTGGAAATTGTTCGAACGCGGTGAATGGAAGAGAAAGGTCGCGGGGATCCGCGCGACGGCCTTTTTGCTCGGCTCGCGCGATACGT